CGACGCCGACACGTACAAATTTCAAGACCACCTTCTTCAAGGAGCCTCCAGTGGAGGAGAACGAGCTGCCGATCTGCTAGCAGAGTGCGTTCGTGACTATTCACGCACCATTGAGACAGTTCCCGACCGTGTGGACATCGTCGTCAAAGCGTTCGCTAACATCGACGGGTTGGCGGCGTCGTTGGTGCGCGACGGCGTGATTCGGGAAGCGAATCAGTTGAAGCACTTTTGTGCCGGGTTTAATAATCGGTCGCCTTTGTTTGACTTCGTGGATGTCGGCGCTGGCAAGGAGCGAGCTGATCAAAAGATTCGTGAGAACTTCCAATTCTATCTGGAAGTTCCTGGATGCCAGCACATTCTTCTGGCTTGTTGCCATGATGCTGGATATGCTCCTTTCTTAGGTCAGCATATTGTCGACCAGTCCACCGCCAAACGTATTACGTTGCTTGAGGGTGCTTTGGTGGCTTCGCCCATGAAAAATCTGGGGACTGTGCATCGGGTCCAGTTTCGGGCCGTGTTTACAACAGCAGTCCTGTCACCGATGAATGGACGTCAGAGTCCCAGGCCTAAAGGCGGATACACCTATGCTGTACCTTTCAAACAGTTGGAAAAGTTGACCAAAGTCACCCGGAATTCAAAGGGTCAGCGGGTAGACAGTTATCTCAGCGTGGATGAGAGTTTAATGAAACAAGTAAAGAGCTACAACCTCTGTCATTGGCTCTTCTTGCGCGGCGAGTGTAAAGGTTGCAGTCGAGGAAAGCATTCGTTTCACCAGCTTTCGGACGTGGAGTTTGATGCCCTGTGGCTCCTGGCACGTCAGGGATCATGTTGGAAAGAGCACCGGGGCATTTGTGACGATGCTTTGTGCATTTATAGTCATTGTGGGTGACAAAGTATGAAATCGTGTTAAGGGTATGAGTCAGAGATTTGGATGTGTAGGAAAGTGGGAGTCATTGTTCCCTACACCCCAGTTTGGCTCGCTCAGCCTTGGCTTCTCAGTATAGCGTGCTAGAGAAGCGATTGCTATGGATGGTGGTTGGTCAGCCGCTGTTAAGGTTGTTTAAGGGAGATCAGAAGGTCAGAAAGAGAGGGTAACCATTTGTGAGAGCTGAGTTACAGCAGTTGTTGCACAATCAGGTGTAAGAATCACGTTAAGTCTTGGGGTAGACAGAGTTCTGTCAATGTCAAGGCCCCGTTACGAGTCGAGTTGTCTGAACCACTCACAACGGGACATGGAGCAGGTTTTGGAATGGAGGAGAAGGGAATATAGAAAAATCGCAAAAAGTTGTCTACGGGTTACTGCTTCCTGTCTATCCCGTTTGAGGCTTCCTGATGGTTTAGATTTGCACCTTCGGCCAACACTGATATTCATTCTAGTCAAAGCGGACAAAGAGCATCGAGACCCAAATGATGTAGCGTTCCATGACAAAATCCGGATGACTTGTTCTATCGGTTTTGATTCGTTGGCGAGAAGGCCGAAGCTGTAACTTATGGTGGATGGTATCTCAGCATATATCCATGGCATAGTCTCCAAGAATATGGCTATGGTTGATTTGCGCAGTATCTTTGCCTCGTTGTAAGTTAAGGCCCTCTTTAGGGAAGAGCAGCGTCCCGCTGTAAAGCTTCGACAAGAAGCGTTCAACCTCATTGATACCATATTGCAGCTGCTTCTTTTGTTCTTCCGAGGCCTTCAAACTGTCGTCTGAAGCAGGAATCAAAACATTTTCTTCGATAGACGATGCAAGTACTGATGAAAGATTTTGGCAGATGTGAAGGAATTGCTTAGCGATGCTGACCGCTATTGAAGTTGGTGGGTCGCTGTCAGCGAATTTCAGAGCCATCTTCATTTGATCGACATGTGCCTCAAGAAGTCTTACACCTGTTTCAAGACAAACAATGTCAGAACTGATTCGGCAAGTGTCTTTATCAGCCGATAAGGCATCATCCCGTTCGCGGGAATTTCATATCGTATTGGCCTCGAGTTCGTCCTTGACCAGTGTGTCGAATAAGGGATAAAATCCCTCTAAGACGTGGTGAAATTCAACTCTAATCCTATTTTCATGTGTCTCCATTAGTTCTTCATCACTCTCTGAATCACCACAGATTGATGAGGGATCGGGATATGCGCGGTGACTTCCAGGGTATGTCTGTGCCCAAGCCACAGCATCCTTCCACTGATCTTTATTTAGATTCTCTGGCGTTGGCAGTCCACGGTAATGAGGATAGTCAGTCTCCTCCAGAACCTCATTGATCCATATATCCCAACACTGAAGAATTTCGGCCTCCCGCTCTTATAGGGCAGCTCGTTTCTCCCATAAGGCTTGGTATTCAGAATGCTCTAGCAGACGTTTATTGCAAATCTCTTGCAATCCTCTCAACACTTGATGCTCGGCCGCAAGGATTTGCTGCTCGATCTTATGGTTATTGGAACTTTGCTTATCAACCTTTTATCGATCTCTTTTTACTTTCCAGTAGATTCTTTAGCTTTTTCATACGCCGAAAGGCATCGGGATTTGGCATTGCTTGTTCCAGGATAGCATCCATTTCCTCCTTGTATCTTCTGCAGCTCGTCTTTGACTTGGTGATATTCTTCGTCACTCGTGCTTCCATCGCATCGTACTTGGGAATCCTGACATTGTCGACACTGTTCAGAATCTTCAGGGAAGATGCATTGAAGATTCAAATCAACGCAACGAGGGCAACCTGCGGAGTTAGACAGTCTAATAGCTGATAAGTTGAGCAGGGCGAGGTTGAGAATTGGACTGAAATTTAGTAACTGAGGGGGTTTGAGAACGAGAGTTCCAGCCCATTTGTAGATTGGGGATTACGTGGGCGCATCTTGGTGCGTTTACGAGAACAACAAAGCTGGCTAATGAACTGTCAACATCTGGCGCTTTGATACGTGGCGATCATCTAGGCACCTACTTCATTGGAAGAATAACCGCTCTGCGTTCCTTATAGCTAGTTGCATGAGAGATTCGTACTCCTTGGCACCATGGTTACGCCATATTCAATAAGCGCCGATCCGTCCATCCCACCAACCCCCAACTCTCAGCGTTGTGAGATATCCCAACTGTGTAGATCCATCTACCAGTATATCCCCATGATCAAGGTCATCAAGGATGCAGTCAATGTGACTACCAGCGGCACTCAAGTAGAGGATATGGGCAATGGCGGCGTGGATAGCTAGTAATCGTGGAGAGGGGGGGTCGATCGTTCGAGTGTCAGTCAGAAAAAGAGAACGGCTCTCTATAGGCAGGATTGGATGGCGCATGAAGTCCTCTCGTACTGAATCAATTCGGTATGTATGAAGTTGATTTCCCTGGGGTTCGAAATAGACTTCGAAACGACCAAATAATTGGTGGAATTCCATTGTCAAAGTAATCGCATTGCGGGTTCGATCGATATCGTTGCCTTCGATGAGGCGTACCACACCGTCATCGAACATATTCAGAATTGCGAGGGCGGTTCTTTTGGACGTGTCCTGTTGTGAATAGTCAAATAAGGAATGACTCAGACATTAAGAGACTATTAGACAACTTTAAGTAGAGGACACGGAACTTACCAACTCATGTTCCCCACTCGAGAGTGTCATCAGTGAATGAGGGATAATATGTGCCACCTCTAGTGTTGCAAATATATTAGATTCGTTGCTCAATGGAAATCCATCATCATCTTGTGCCTTCTGAGTGCCATCCCGGGCAACCCGCCTCATTGCTTCGTCACGGTCGAATGAGCGTGATATGACACAGCGGTGGCGATCACGTATGAGACAATCTCTTCTCAAAGTCGCCAGCCTTTGGGTAGTCCCAGAAAAAGATTGCATGCTTTGGAGATCAGAAAGGGCGGCAGGCGAAGGTTGGGGAGTTTTCCTCGTTGAGGCTCTCACTGAATAGGTTATTAACAAATTTCGACTATCAAAGTTGTTCATATGAACTTACAAGGCAAGAAAAAGTTCTCCATAAGTGTCTCAGCAAATGTAATCAATCGGGGCGCATGGTCGATGGTAGAGATCGATTCACTCTGAGGGGCATTGACCGGAATCTGGGTGTGTTCGAAGAAGAAACGTAGAAAGTTGTCTCTTGACGCCTCGGAACGCGCATATTCGTAGGTTAGTCGGACGAGGGTGACCTGCTTGTACGGCTTGTGATTTTGAAGAGGTTCGCACGCTTCGATGACGGTGGTGAACGTACGAGTTGCGTGTTGTCGTTGCTCAGAACTCAGCCCAGGATGCGGTAAGAAAAGATCGAAAACTCCCTCCAGCGATGTTTGGTGCCGATGATGGGGCGAAGGAGTAGACATGTCACAGCAAATACGTTGTACCGTGGTTCGCGACGAGATACCTGCGACTGAACAGCTGTAGTCTTCTTCTTAATGAGGAAGGTCTAGCGGCGAGCACACCACTCCGTACTTCCTCCCCCATTCCAATGACCCCGCTTCTCCTGGTGTCAGCAGTTACGATTTCATCAATTGCACAATTTATGCTTGCCTCCTGAGCCCCAACGAATACTGCGTTGTATCCGCGAGGTGGGCGTCGCCACACCTCCGCTCTTCGCAATTGGCAATGCAAAATGTTGTCGCAGCATTCAGTTCGACGAGATCACAACGGAATTCCCATTATTCGCAGACGCAGGAAATTTATCTTGGGTCGCTCTAACCCGCAGGAACGTATTGAGAATGAAAATTGGAATCGTAGCAATGAGGAGTTATATACTATGACCACGAAAATCCTTGATCTCCTGGCACAGGTTAGATTTCTGGAAAGGTGGTTTTTACCTCATATACGGCCATCAAAGGACCCAGGTACTCTGGTATTTGCAGACCAGGGTATCAATCGCCTCTCCGACAGATCTGTGGGTGAGGAATTGGCAGCACTGGCCGATATGCTCAACTCAAGCCAGCAACGATGGCAACAGATATTCAGTATCATGTCTGGCGGTATGGTGTACACTATGAGACCCCCCATTTAATCCTGCAGAGCCATTCCACAAGCCTTTACACGCCTTTTCAATTGCGGCTTCGCACTGTAGCACTCTAAATTATTAGGGACCACTTTTTAACCTACACCTACTAAGTGCTAGGCAGAATATAATTAAGCGTGTGCCTTGCTAAGAGCCAATTAAAATAAGCTTTAGTGGGGTAGTTAGGTAGAGGTTACGATACGATGCGAAAATGCTAACATCTGCCAAGACTTTATCTATAAGGTAATAACGGCAATAGTTTAAAATTCGAAGGAGCCCTTGCCAAGTCTTAGCCATCTATGGCTAATTATGTCATCAGCTGGCTAGACGCAGCCTACTATCAGCGCAACTCCGCACTATCATCCGTGCTATAGCCCTACACCTAGTACAGAATGACGAACGCCCTAGAAGTAAACGTCATAAATACCACGGATCAAATTGCGAGCCTAGTTGACTGGCTCGTCTTCCGCCATGCACCGCCAGTCCCATACTCACCAACTATGTACATCGATCTCGAAGGCGTAGACCTCTGCCGCGAAGGCTCCCTTTCCATCCTCACTCTCCTGATCGATACGGGGATTCCGACTAGACGGATCCATCTCATCGACGTACATATTTTGGGTGCACAAGCGTTTAATACTTCAGGTGTTAAAGGGAAGACGCTAAAAGATATTCTTCAGAACGAAAAGATTCCAAAGGTCTTCTTCGACGTTCGCAACGATTCAGATGCTCTATTTGCCCATTTTGGCGTGGCGTTGCAGGGTGTAGAGGATGTTCAGCTTATGGAGAGTGCTACGAGGAGGACAACGGCATCGAGGAAGTTCTTGAGTGGCTTGGCTAAATGCGTTGAGGAGAATGTATTCGTGTCGCTCGGTGACAGGGCGAGCTGGAAGCAAGTAAAGGAGAAAGGTGAGCGATTGTTCAAAAAGGAACATGGCGGTTCGTATGAGGTTTTCAACCAGCGCCCGATCCCCGAGGATATTATTTCTTACTGTGTTGGTGATGTTCAGTACCTCCCTGAGTTGCACGATAGGTTTTGGAAAACGCAGGCCTTTCGGTGGCGAGACCTAGTCAATGAAGAATCTATGAAGCGCGTCTCGGCGTCTCACAAACCGGAGTACCGACCCCACGGCTCAGATAGGGCCATGGCTCCGTGGAATGAAGACCAGAATAGGACTTTAGATGAGTGGAATTGGGTCCCTCCTCCTCGTGACTACTTCGATGAAGACGACAATTGGGATTTCGATGAGGATGACGGTTGGGATGACGACGGTCCGACCAGCTGTAGGGACATTATTAGCAGCTGGGACTACGACTATTACTATTCTGACTGAGCGCCTACAGACAAGCTTACCGAATGTTCAATTGGGTTGCCATATTGCCTAATATTTAGTGTCTAATAATGTGCGCTCCACGGTGAAATTAATGGTTATTGACTACCAAAGCCTTGACGCAATTCCCATGATGCTGCTATAGTTGACAGTCACGTGTTGGGAAGTGCACGGAATGGGCGGATGAGTAAGCAGAAAAGTGCACGGAATAGGCGAGGTGGTGCCATGTGCCCTAGATAATAGCCAGGCTTGCGATCATGACGCTCAGCCGAGGAATGTGCGAGGGGCACAGTACAATACCCCAAGGCTGAGAGTGACTTGGTTCTCGTAGAGGCACCAAAACCACGTGAGTGCATGCGGCCACGGCAGAAAACTGGTTGCCCGCTAAACTAAAGTTGGCAGGTTTCTTCCACTTCGCCGTAATGAGCAAAGCATGGGCTATTGAAGACCAGATGACGCCGATTCTGCACAGGAGTGCAGCAACAACTTAAACTAGGTAGCCACAGATTTGCCCACCGGCATAACCACCTCTTCGCGTTTGACATCACCTCTACCACCCAACGGAAATGAACTTCTCCGACGTTGCTCCTAAGATCCGGCAGAAGATCTACTCAAAGCTCCTCATTCACCCAGAGTCAATTAACTTCGTAGCAGACTACGGCGATGGCCGCCCCTCCTTCGACGCCAAAGGGATGGGCTTTGTCCAGCTATTCTCCGTGTTAGCAAAATGATACACCGCGAGGCCAGTCCACTACCCCACACGGGTTGGGAAATAAGTTAACCAAACACCCCGGCTTGTTGCAGAACAGCCAATGCCATCCCGGCCTGGTTCCTGAGCTTTGCCCTCTGCCTCGCCAGCCGGAATCCCCCTAGCACACCACCTCCTCATAGCCTCCCTCCCCCTGAGCTTGACCCTCGTTCCCACATGCTGAATTGTGATACGGTGTACGTCCAGGCGCCGATCTGCATCCGGGTCCCGTACAAACCGGTCCCATGGAGAACTCCATTCGACCATGACGCAGACACCGGCGCGTGGGGTGTTCCCAACAAAATGTGGGGGCGTGGTCCGGAACCCTTCGTATCGCATTTAGCCTCATCTCTTCCATCGAATACCCGTATAGAGTGTCCCGCGTTGGTTGGGGACTTTGAGCAGATGAGCGAAGTCGTGATTCGTGGGGCAGGGTCGCGGTGTCCCATCGTCTTCCTTCCCCACTCCTGCCTCCCGACAAAGACGCCGATAGACTCCTGGGTCAGGCGCTGATCCGTAAACGGGTTGCCCCACCGAGTCGGGGGACGGGAGATATTCCGCCATCACCCCGCTGCGAAAAAAATCATGGTCGGCAAGGTCGTCGGGGCCGGCGCGATCGGCAGCCTGGGTGAATATTCGGCCAAAGAGAGCGACCGCATCCGGCTCCATGCCAACGCCGTCGGTCCACGGGTGGCGACACCAAGAGCCATCTTGGACTTTGGCCAAGGGAAAGGGCAGCTGACCAAAAGCGAGTTCAAATCTATCGAAGGTCAGGGGTCGACCGAGAGGAGGGAAAAATTGGCGGTGCTTACGCGATGGCCCCCACGCTCCAGACGTCGCTCCGCAAGCAGTCCTCGAAAGCCTGCCCACACCCCTCACTCTCAAATATTTCGGGTGCGGCGTACGGGGACGGCGTGCGGAACGAGGAGAAACGTCGATTCGGAAGACATTCATCCGCCAGTCCCAGATCTGCGAGCTTGACGGTCATCGCCGATCCCAGCAGCACTTGTTCGGGGCGGATATCGCGGTGAACGATGCCTTGGCATTGCATCTTCTTAACACCGGCCAGGAGAGAAAGGAAAATTCGTCGCACCACGGGCAAGGGGAGGGTTCGCCGGGTCGCCAGATAATTCTGCAACGAACCATTCCCGCAGTAGTCCAGGAGGAGGCACCTCCTCCCTTCGACCACCAAGCTGCCGAACAATCGAACGATATGAGGGTGGCCGGTGCGAGAGAGCATGTACTCTTCCACGTTTTCCTGTGGTGCGAAATTAGAGAAATCCGCCGTCCACGAGCAGTCGGACGGTTCCTTACCACCGAGGCGGCTTTGGGGACCTTCAAAGCCGCAATCAGACGGTTCCCGCCGAGAGAGTCGATTTGAACCCGACACACCACTCCATATCTGCCCTCGCCGACCTTCTCCAAGAGGGTGCATGTTTTCCCCCTAGCGGTGCCTGCCGCAATTTGGAATTGTCTCGGGAATTGCAAGTCCTTTGAGAGGACCACCCGCGTAGGTATCAAAGTCATCCTCGGCGTCGTCGATGAAGCCCACGGAGTGGTCTTGGAGGCGCGGTGCGTCGTCCACTATCAAATTGGTTGCAAACACGACCGTCGCGTTTCGAGGCCAGGCCATGGTTGTTGGGGGGGCAACGTGGACACTATCCCCGTTTAAGTTAGCTCCGCGACCTGACAGGGCAACTCTTTGTTGTGAATTACGGCAGTGGAAGCGTTGGTTGATGGCGATGATTCTGTCTACTCTCTCAGAGAGTAGAGAGTATAAATACACCGAACGTGGTACTCTAGAAGCTTCTTCACAATTTCCAGGCACACGGAATGATTCCATAAAGACTTGCATCAATGTCGTGATGGTCGGTCGAGCCCCATACCACAACAAAGCCATCCACCCAGAATGGATGGATGGTGCTTTCACCCCTCTCCACGGCCACCTCACGTCCTGACCGGCGTTCAGTGGCATTGAATTAACGTGAATTTCAGTAACTACGAGATGGCAACGTATGTGATGAAGAGGCGCTTCGTTATATCGTCGCTTTCAAGTTTATCCTCCTGCGAACCCCTCATACGCCAAAGACGCCATCACACCCACCATCCCGTCCTCGCGTGTCTCGTCATTCACCGCCACGGTCGCGTCCGTGTGCCAACTCCCGCCTCCAGCGCTGTAGCATCTCCAGGATATCCAGTCGGTGTCTGTTGAATGAGATCACTTGCTCACCGGAGTTGACGAGAGCTCCGAACGCGTTGAGGCCCAGCATCAGCGTGGCCAGATTGCCAGACTCGGCGGCGTGCTCTGGGTCCAGCCGAATACCCTCCTGGTCTTCAATCTCCCAGTCTCGGGGAACAAGGAAGCCCTCCAATTTTCGCACCCAGTTTCGGAGAGTCTAGCCAGCCATGATTCAGTGTGGGGATTGGCTTTTTCCGATGAAAATTTGACGCCGGGTGGGGGGCAAGAAAAACGGGCCCCAAGAGAGATTGGGGGAACGGGGTGGGATTGCTCACCTTCACCACCGACTTCCGTCGGTTCCGTCTGCCCGACTTGACCGGATCATAATAGCGAATGGTGGCCTCGCCCCAGACCACCGTGGCGGCCGTCCAGGCGCCGTCTTCGTAGATGGGCATTCGCCATTCCGTCCGGGGTAGACCCTCGGCGGGGACGCGATCGTCGTCGTGAACGTCGCCCTTGAGTTTGGGGTACAGTGTGGCGCCGAGGAACACCGCGTCCGTGTCGAGCTCGACGGACGCGAGGATCAGATCCACCAGCTCGGCGGTGAAGCTGACGCCCGGAGCCAGCTGGCGGACCCAGTCGGCCGAGAATGCGCACGGCGCTTGCCCTTCCCGCTCCAGAGTTTCCGCCTAGAGGACACGGTCAGCGTCACGCGGGAATGTCCCCGGAGGGGTGGGTTCTTTACGAAGTGCTGAACTTTTGCGTGCACGATGTCGGCGAATCGTTCGTCGTCTCCGGCCAAGGCGCCCGAGGCCAATTCGGACACATCTACACGAGCCTCCGTCAGTACGACTCCTCGCGGATCACGGGACGGTGGTACGCACATCCGGAATCTCCGTGTGCGCTGGAGTCTGGGTCCGGGAAGACGGCCCAATCGAGCGCCGCCTCAATCTGCTCCGGCCTACCCACCCACGTCAGCGATCCACCCGGCGATGCACCTCACGGTGCGAGCTTCGACGACGAACCTGACCGAGGGGATGACGGAAAACAGCCGCTGCAAATGATCCAAAATGGTCTCACACTCGCCGGAGAGCTTTCGCAGTTCGCGTCTTTCGAGGGCGTCCAGGAGTCGGTCAAACGCCAGGGGGCGGAGCGTTTGGGCAAACCATTTATTCAACTTACCGATTCCCACGTCATACACTGCCATCGGTCAGTCGATCGTCCGCCGAGGCGCATCTCACTTACGGCAATGGACCACCAGGGCGAATTGTCGGTGGTGCCATCGTTCGTCCAACTCCCGACACAACGACATCAGGGTCCGGAAGGTCAACTCCTTCTCTTTCTGGTAATACGACAAACTCTCGACTTCCTGTCGGTGATGGTGAGTGAGGACGTGAATCACCCTGACGCCGCGCAGTGGAGGGGAGGGGAGGGGAGGGGAGGGGGGAACGATACCTGTTGATTGGCGGGATCGACGTGGGAATGAACCCGCACCGCCGCGAACAGGAAGAAT